CAGTGGTATTATAAACTTACAACATAATATGTTATTATATAATTAACTCTTTTATTCAGAAATCTACTCATGATATTATATACACATATTCATTTAATATTACATTATATTTCATTTAATGTCATATAAGATTATAAATTATAATTATACCTAAAATTTTAATTATAGCATTGCCATTAAAAATACTCAATCTTAAATAATTATCCCATAAGAGTTTAAAATCTATGTAAAATTTAAGAGTCTAATATTTCAATTCAAATAAAATATTACACAACTTTAATTTAAATTTTAAACAAATTTAGACTCAAACTTTAATAATTATGTACATTATATATAGAGCTTCTAAGAATTGCAATATTATTTTGTTATAAAAAATTTTAAATTCTTAATAAATTTTCAATAAATACTAAAAAAACACATAACGAGTGTTTTGAAATCTTTAAATACTTAATAGGCCTTTTAAAATTCAAATTCAATTTTATTTTCAATAATAATCTTTTCATATGCATTTTCAACATTACATTTTACTATACATATATATATATATATATATTTGGTGCATTGGAGAAGTTAGTTGTTTAGCAACATAAGAGTTTGAGCCCTTAACCTTGTCCTCAAATTAAGGCTTTTAAGTTAGTGGGTATCAATTTGGTTAAGTTTCTATTAATACATCTTACCATATATATGAGATTAGTTTGTATTAATCTCAATTTTAAAAAAAAATTAGAGTTTCAATTTATATTTAAAAACACAAATCCCAATTTTAAATTTAGAAATCCACTCAATTAAATGTTAATACATAAATTTAGAAATCGATTATATATTTGAATATAATCAGTTTACAACTCTAAATATTAATATTTAACAAGATGAATTTTTAAATTTTAAATTGAGTTTTAATTAAATAAAATAATGTAATTTAAGGTTGGAACTCTAATTTATTTTAGGAGATTGATATACACTTTTTTCTATATATAAAGGAGTACTGTGTATATGTTTGATCTTCTAAAAATTAAAAGAAAAATTGTTAAAATTTTTAATAAATTTCAAATAAATATCTAATA